CCGCACCGGGCTGCTCGCCGTCCCCACCCTGCGGTTCCCGACCGGGGCTCCGTATCGCGCGACCCCGACTTCCGGTTGCCTTGCCTCAGTGTCCCTCACTCTGACTCCACCTTTGGCCCGGCTCTCTGATACCTGAGTTCCTGCGTCTGCCATGTCGCAGGTGCTCGACTCACCTGCGACACCCAGGCGCCACTACTTCCGGTCACCCTCTTCCCGGGACCCCCTTTCCGCTTCAGTGTCTGCCGCGCTCCGACCCCACCCGTGGCCCCGCGCTCTGCCCCCCGGTGTCCTGTGCCTTCCCCCCGGGTGTTCAGACCGCCTGCAAACCTCACGTTTTCCTCCGTGCGCCCCGATGTCCCGTCCTTGTCCCCAGACCTCCCCTCCCACCTGGTCTCCCGGCCTCCTGCCATCCGGGCCCGGCTCTTTGTCCCTCACTCCCCCAGCCCTTCTGCCCGGGGTTCGCTGTTCGCCGTCTGTGGTCCCGGTGGTTTGTTGGCGGAGACTGGCTGGGGGGCTTGGGGACAGGGACAGAGGGTCCTGTCGGGGGGGGGGGGACCTGTTGCAGGGAGCCGCTTGAGAACTCTGGTCCCCGCCGCCTGCGCCCTCCCCCTTCCGCTCTGGCCACCGGCTTTGTTTTCCGGAAACACACGGATCAAGGAGGGAGGGTGAGATGTCTGAGCTGGCTGCTGGATCCCCTGCCCGTACCTCTCAGCCCCGACTTTGCCCGTGGGTGACTTTAGGAGATGGAAACAGAATGTCTGCAGGGAGGGGCCTACTGTGCGACGCGGGCGAGACCCAGCTTCTAGGTTGGGGGCAGCTGGTTTTCATCTTGGTGGCCTCTGGATGGCAGTTTGCAGGAAGCAGCCTGGGGGTTGGTGTGTAGGTGGAGGCGGGGAAGACTTGTCTCTGTCCTCTCCGAGCCGCAGTCTGCTCTCCCAGCCCGTCCCTCAGGGCTCTGGAGGCCGATGGAGCCTTCCACTAGGAGCTGCGGTGGGTGTTTGTGGCCTGGGTATTGAGAGCTGGTGGGTGGAAGGCACAAAGGCCTTGCTGGTATAGGAGAAAGCCCAGCTGCCCGCTGGGACGGTGCTGACCAGTCAGGTGTGGGGGTGGACACTGTCTGGGCTCCTTGCCTGCCCTGGGGGCTCTGCCTGGGTGTACAGCAGAGGATGGCCGTTCAGGTTTGCGAGGGGAAATGTGCACTCGTCTCCCAGAGCTGTGTGGTGCTGGCTGGGGGGTTTCCCAGGAGATCACAGGCACACACAAACAGTTAGTCCCGCCCTCCCTCCAACCTCAGCCTTGGTGCTTTCCTGGGAGAGAACCTGAGCAACTAAGCAGGAGAGCGGGGACCCCTGGGGAGGGCCCCATCTAGGGCTCCAGAGCCCACTGCAGCAGGCGAGTGAGCGGGGTGGTGCTCAGGGTCTGTGTGCCGGTTGTCGGCGGTGCTGCTTTGAGCATGCTCAGAGGAGAGGTGGCCTTCTGTCCCCTTATTTTACCTTGGGATGGTCACTTGGGCTTCAAGCATGTCCCAGAGGCCGGGCCCCCTGTGCTGTCCACAGCATGGGACCGAGTGTGGATTTCTTTGAGTTACCTGTGACTTCTCCTCCTTAATTATATTGTAATCGCCTCCGGGAGCAGGAAGTGAGTGAGGTTCTTGGTAATTGAAGGCGCCAACATGCCCATCCCGGCTGTGGGGAAGCCAGCATGCCAATTGTGAATTGGGACGAATGTGGCATTCCAGACAAATGCAGAGGAACACTTGTGTTCCTGGGGAGCTTGCAAATGGGGGGTGCCCATCCAAGATGTAGGCCCTGGGGATGTGTATCCGCACTCCAGGCAGGACAGGAGCTGTGCTGTGGGGTAGATGGTGTTTATTCTGTGTGTGACGCCTGCACAAACCACCCCAGGCTCCTCCCCGCACCAGCCAGCATCCTTTCTGCAAGGGGCCGGGACTGTTGAGGTGCTGCCCTTAGCCGTGTGGGGCCAGGCGGGGAGGGAGGAGAGCGGGGCTGTAAGGCCTGTGTGGCTAAGTGCCATCTAGTGTGGTTTTTTGGTGTCTAGAGCGTCTAGAACAGGCCAGTGGTTTTCCTGTTATCTGGGGGACAGATGGGGCCATGTGAAGGAGGCCCTAGCCCAGGAGTCCTGCAGCTGGATCATGGTGGCAAGTGGCTGGGGCTCCATCCAGGTTCACCTGCCCATCTGATGTCCATGGCTTAGTGGCCAAGCTCTTGCAGGACCCAAGCCTTGTCCTTGTAGGCTGGGCATCAGCTTGCCGGTCAGCACCATGAGCAGTCTTGTGTCAAGAGCCTGTGGGTCGGCACAGCCCTAGGCACGTGGCTCACAGAGGTGTCTCTGTACTCACTGAGAAATGGTGGGCTGGGAGGACCCCAGATCTGGGGCCTGTGGGCTTGAGTGGTATGGTGTGTCTGTGAGGTGGTCATAGCACTTTTGTAGAGAGGACAGCCTGTGTGGTGTAGGAGGATCTGGGGTCTGGCGGCCTAGTGTTAGGGACCCCAGGGACAGAGGAGGTGAGGATGAATCAGGAGGGCTGTGCCCTGAGGGAGCCCCTGTCTTGCATGGCCTTGTGAGTTGGAAGGACACACCTGTCCCTTTGGTAACCTCACAACCCTGTGACCTCCGCTATTGCAGAGGATGGGCAGCAGCACCTGCGTGAAGAACTTGCCATGAACTGCTCTGACCTCCATAGGTCAAACTTGTCCCCGTCCTGGCGCCCAGGAGGTGACAGTCACTCTGGAGGCGCAGAGCAGGGTGTGACCTCAAGGTGTGCTCTGGGGAAGCTTGAGCATGTCTGCACTCAGCTCTGAATGCACAGACACAGTTGGGGTGTTCGGACGGCCGCCTGTCACCCGAGGAAGCGGTCTGGCCGCTGACACTTGTGGGGGACGGGACCCCAAGGCCCGCGAGGACGTACATCAGACCCCACGAGTGCCTTCGCTCTGTGGGTTCTGTCCCACACTGCACGGTCACCAGGAGGCCGTGCCCTGGGCACAAGGGGCACAGGACACCCGGGTCGCATAGCAGTCAGCCAAGCCTGGGAGCCATAGCTGTCCGGTCTGCCCATGTCCCTGTCCGTGGCCATGCCCACTGCCCCCACTGAGGCCTCCAGCGCAGCTCCTCTGGGCCAGCTGCTGTTCATGGGGCCCTCGGCCTGCTGGGAGACAGAGCCTGGGGAAGGCCCTTGTACCAGGTGCCATGTGAGGACAGATTAGCTTTCACAGCTTCTGCTCACTAAGACCCCAGGCTGCACTCTTGGCTGGGGGCTCCCATTAGAGGCTAGGTGTTGTTGGGGGGTCGTTCATCCTTTCCTCTCTGAAGAGGCCCCACGCTAGGGAATTAGTCTAATTTGGGGCCCAGTGGTGGTCGGCCTCTGTTTTCCTCCCTTAGAATAGGCCTTCAGGTCGCCCGAGGCCTCCTGCCCACAGCCTTGCCCCTCGGGACAGCTCAGTGCCATGAGGCCGAGACAGATTGAGGTCACCTCCTGTCAGATGGCAGCTCTTCCAGAGCCTTCTGAAACAGGTCAGGGTCCAGCAGCAGCATGCAGCCTCACCTGAGTCTACAGTCCAAGCCAGGCACAGGTTGTCCCCATGGCGTGCTGTGCAGGCCTGTGACAGCAGACACGAGCCAGGGGACAGAAGGGGGTTTGGTTTGGCTGTGCCCGAGGCCTGGAGGCGTGATTCTCCAGCTGGGGTGCCAGCCACACCTAGCTCAGACCCAAGGGGGAAGAAACCCATCTTGATTTTTTTTGTTTTTTAATTTTAGATTTTTGAGAGACAAGGTCTCACGTGGATTAGGATGGTCTTGAACACCTGATCCTCCTGCTTCCGGGTCCTGAGTGGTGGGGTCACCGTGCTTGGCTCTTGATACGGGTCTTATGTACCTCAGATCCATATGGGTGGGTGGCATGTGCCGTTGTGTGCCTGTGGAAGTCAGGGAGCAACTTGGAGTTGCTTCTCTCCTTGAACTTTGGTGTTTTGACACAGGGGCCTCTGTAGCCCTGGCTGTCCTGGAGCTCGCTGTGTAGACCAGGCTGGCCCCTTGCACGTTGATAGTTGCCAGGCTTTCACCAAGCTTTTCCCACTGAGCCGTCTCCCCAGCCCTGCTTTGTAAGTGTGAGACAGGATCGCAACTCGGTAGCCAAGGCTGGCCGTGAACTCGTGCCTGCCCCAGCGTCCTGAGCCCTGCTGTAGGTTTTTTGAGGTGGCATCCCAGGTGACCTAGGCTGGCCTCTGGCTGGAGATGGCCTTGAACTTCTTGGCTTCTGGGACGTTGCTCTCTGCATGTTCTCCTGGGGTTACAGTGGGAAAGATTAGGGGTACCCTTGGGGCAGCTAAAGGAACCCCTGCCTCAGGCTTAGGCCTGTAAGGGTCTTCAAGTGTATATACAGGTTGGGGAGCAGGTACTGGAATCTGGACCACAGAGCAGGCTGTACCAGGAGCCCCCGGGCACAGAGAAACTGGGATCTGCGTGGCTGGGGCCCACAGAGCTGGCAGTGGTGTGTATTCCTAGGCGCAGCCCTGTCTCTCCAACTCACTGTGTCTGTGGCCTGTGCTTCCTGTGGTGGCACGCCCCTGTGGGCTCCTGGGAAATCTGCATGCTGCCCTTGGCCGTTGAACTGGGCCCCTGAGAGGAGGTGTGGCTGGGCAGGGCCACCAGGACAGATGCCCTCCCTCCCGGTAGACAGCTGTGTGCGGTGAGCTGTTCTTCGCCTGGTGCTGGGCCCTCCACACGCTGACTGCGTAGACAGGCCGACATCCCAGGCCTGTGAGGTGCCTCCGGACAGCTGTCCCCTCAGGGTTAAGGTTTGTGGTCACTTCCACCTGTAAGGACACACAGTTCTGAGCGCCCCTCTCCCCACCCCGCTATCCTGTTACTAAAATGTCAAAACCAAGCGTGGCGGGCTCAGACCTGTCTTCCCCACCCTCAGGATGTGGAGGCAGAGGAGCAGGAGGTAAAAGTGCTGGGGAGGACAGTGGTGAGGCAGGGCGTGGTGGCCACCTGTGGTCCCAGGTCCTTCCTCACGGGGCGGGTTGTGCTAGCTGAGGTGGGCAGCCGTGGGTTCCGGGGGGACACAGCCAAAGTGATGTAAGGTGGAGGGTTATCCAGGAATGCGCTTGCTCACGCACGCACGCACGCACGCACGCGCACACACACAGCCGTCCACCCTGGCTCGTGCCTGTAATTGCAGGGTGTGAGGTCTGAGGCAGGATTGCTGCAGGTTCAAGGCCATCCTTGAGAATTACCTATTAGAGGTTTCTGTGACCTCCTGGTGACACTTGCAGAATTCCCAGGGGACAACCCCCCTTCACCCCAGGATCTCCTTCTGTGGCCGAGTTGTCCTTTCTTGGGCGGGGTTGGGCTGAGTCCCACTGGAGCTGGAGGTCCACACGATCATTTTCGGGCTGAAAGTGGTGCTCCTGTCCATAGTATCGCGAGTATTGTGGAAACCATGGGGGCAGATGGCGTCTGCAGTAGACCGGGGTCAGTGCCTGTGTGCACACCCGGTACCCAGCCCTGTCCGTTACATTGTACGCAGTGGTGCTGCCCAGCAGCACCCAGGGCCTCTGTTCACTCCATGCTGGCACCCCCACTGGTAATGGCTACCCCATGGTCTAAGAGCAGAGCCACCCTCCCTGAGACCTGGGTCAGGAGGTCTGGACCCCGAGGCTCTGTGTCCCACAGTCACCAACCCCCCTGAGTGCAGAGGGTGCGGGATGCTCAGTCTCAGCTCTAGTGTGGAGGGCGTTCTGTGAGGAGCAGAGGGGCCGAGCCCTCCTTCCCAACCTCGCCTTCGCCTGCTCCTTTCTGTAGTTTATGCTGCAGAGAAGTTTGGGCCTTAGAGGCACAGAGAGCAGGGGAGTGGTTCTCTGCTGTACAGGGTGCACACTGGCTGTCAGGTCC